CTTATTATGTCAATTTTAGAAAAAAATATTCAGACTTATATTTTAAAGTTTTTCAGTTCGCCAAGCAGTCAACTCAAAATGTAATTACTTGAAATGATTGACAAGCAAAATTATCTTTCTCAAACTGTTATCAAGCTTGAAATAACAGCTAATTTAAATGTGCTAGAATTTATATAAATATACAGCTGCGAATTATTTTTTAAGAAGAAACGGTTGCAATTCTTTGGTATAATTTAATTTCAACATTATCTTGGATTATGACAATTGTTTTACTGTCGTCTCACTTTATCAAATACTTTAAATAAAAAATAGTGCTTCTTTAAAAATCTGCTTGTCATTGACAGTAGTCGACAGATAAGCTGTAGCAAATTGTACAGTAATGCTTGCAACTGTCGTGTTCTTTATTATACTTTTTTTCTAACAATAACCAAAACTACTTATTTTCAAATTTGTATTAGAAATTTTCAAAAATTGAATTTCAAAAAAGCAAAAAACACTGGTTTTTGACATATTATGTAATAATTTATTATGAATATTCACACTTAATAATGATGATATTTTACGGTCTTATTATCCAAGTTCTTAAATTTCTTGAATGCTGAAAATGCATTTTTTTTTGCCTAAATTAAGAGTTTCGTGTGGATACAAAACTTAAGCTTAAACAGTAAGTTAATGCGAAAGATAAAAAGCAGAAAAATATTTTTCCACCCATATCAAACACTAAAACAAAAATAATAAACAAGTGCCTTCAACAATAATTGCTAGAATGCACATCTTTTCTCATTTCATTGAGAAGCAAATTCAAAGAAAATCAAGTCTACTTCTGTGCAGTAGATATCTATCACACCAATAATAGTCAGCAAAATTTCCTCATTCAAATCCATATTCATACATTTACGTTTCGGTACGAAATTAATGCTCTGTTTGCTAATGACACTTCATTCAGAATACCTCTTTCAAGATTTTTATTTCTAAAACACTTTTTCAAAAGTCAAAAACCTGCACATACTGCTGTGATTGGTGCCCTACTCAGATTCCTATGAAAGTGATCTCTTTCACTTCTATTCTACATTCATGAGTTACGTCCCTTGCTTTGCATTATACGAGAAAATCACTCACCATATTTAGTCTTTAATATATTTGCTGCAGTCAGTAGAGTCATTTATTGCTGTGCTGCTCAATAACTATACAACTATTCTACTGCGAAAGAGAACTTTCAAAAATATATTCTATCGTTGGGACTGAAGTACTGAAAAATCGTATGGATTTTGGTGGTTTTCATTTATATTTAAAGAGTTCATTAAATGATCATTTGATAATGCAGAAGTAAAGCAGTTGCTTTTTTAATAATTTCTAGCGCACTTTTTCGGAAACATGCTTAGAAGCACAAATCATTATCATTAGCAAAGTTTCGCCAAAGACTTCAAACTGTAACAATCGCAGTCCTTGCATTTACTTTAAGCCATATAACAACTATTTTAATCTGCGATTCTCTAGATATTTATTCCTAAAACACAGCTAGCTCCCAAAGTTGTGATAACTACATATAAAAATCTATGAAACAATTGCTAAAACAATTGAACGTTGGTGCAAATATTGACAAAACCAACTATCTTATACGCAGTAAGTAGTAAATGCCACATTCGTACAAGTTGTGCCAAGATCGAAGATAGTGCAAAATAATGAAGAACTAAGCAAGATTGAATGAAAAAAATGCAAATGGCAAGACTATTAAGAATAAAAGAGACTTCACAAAACAAATCATAATCTCTATTAAAGTAGATCAGTCCTAACCATTGTTAAGGAGAGAGTGCACGAAATGCATTTGATCTACTAGCACACTGCTACTGCTATCATCAAATTGCCAGAAAATAAAGATAAAAAGTTGCAAATGACAAAATAATTTTAGAAAACTGCTTTTTTCTACTGCTACTATTTTGGTTCCAATTTTTTTTACCTTAAAAAAAACAAACAAGTTACAAAGAAAGTCAACTTTCAGACTACATATTGAATGTGATAACAATTAGGTTGAATTTCAGTTTGCAAAATACCGTCTCTATATTTTACAAAATTATACAGCAAAAAATGTTTTTAATGTTCGTGGAATCCCCATTTTGTGCGCGATTATTTCTGTGACTTTACTCCTGTTTGCGAATAAAAACGTGAGATTACTTGTTAAGAGCCAGTACCATCTTGTGAAATGACGAATCGACTAAGCAGGATATACTAATGGTTATTTTTCATCGATTCCAACCTTGATAACTGATTCAGTTTGAAGTAGCTCCAATTAAAATGAAGATAACTGTTTTTTAAGCTTTGTATGAATCATATATTTTGATAACAACAGCCATATATTGAAAAAACATGCATAAGTCAATCATAAATTATTTAGCGCACTATGGAATGATTGCATTTATATAACATGAGATAAGATAAATTAAAAACTTTGTTGCTCTTACTGTTTTTTAATTTACTTTTTAATATTTTATGGGACTGATTTTAACTTTTGTTATTCTTATGAAAAGTGTCCTCAAGCTTGAAATTGAAACTTAGGTAAAACAAACCGAAACCAGAACTGCATGACACTGAGAGTTTTGAGATGGATAAGGAATGAAAACTACTTGCATTTATGGTTTTACCAATTTAAGTCTCTTGTTTGATGAACTGAGTACAGAAAAATTCAGCAAAAGAACTTTGGTTGAGAACGTGCAGCTGAAAATCGTCTGTTTACAGTAAATTCAATATTTTGTGAATAATTCATATATATATTGTTCATATAATTACCAGTATTTACTTCCAGGTATGCTGAAATTTGAAAACTTAAAGGCTTCAGTGAACGATCATTTCTAATGCACATGTAAAGCAGTTGCTTTCCGAATTTGATAACTTTTAGCGCACTTTCTCAGTAACACGCTTAAAAGCAGACGCCATAGTCATATTTTATTAACACAAAAGCCTCCGTAATAAATGACATTATGGGGA